ATCACTTCTAAGGTGTCCAATCTGCCTGATTGGGCTGTTTTTTAATAAATTTTCTGATTTGTACCTTGAGAAGAAAGCAAGGCATTCTAGAAAAATACCTTGATAGGGAGTCTGTGCATGCTGGAGATGTCACCTAAGCTCATGTCACCTAAGGTACTGACTATTTTTCTATATAGGAACAGTGTTCCTTCCGCCTCTTGAAGCTGCACTGTGTTCCAAAAAAGAAGTCAGGACTGCTGCAGTTAAACATTGTGTGCACCTTGTTTTAATGACAGATGTAGCTTTCTAAAAACTGTGTGAATCCTTTTGGCCTGGAAATCTTCCCTTTGGAAGAAATATTGGAAACTGGCATTTTAATTGTAGACCAGGATATTTAAAGGGAAAGTCTTCACAACTGATAAAGACAGTAAGCTTTACTAACATGCTATTTGTTTTCAACCAGTTGTGAGTTAACCTCTTAAATATTTTTGCGAATGCAGAATTTTGCCTATTCTCACTAAAATCAAGAGAGACTATTGCTAGAAGTCATAAAACAGGTCAAAATGCTAGAGATTTCTGAGTGCCTCTGCTGTAGTTAAAATACACTTCAAATTCCCCTACCCTCTGCCAATATCAATAAGCAAAAAAATTTGTTTAGCAGGGAGCAGGGTTGGGAGTTGAACAAATGCTTCAGGCAAATAGCCTGATAGTTAACACTAAAGACAGGGGTTAGCATAGTATCAGGCAGCATTTCAGGGAAAGTATGGCACCCTGGAGTGTGAGACTTTTTAAGGCCTGGTTTTGCACACAATAACTCTGTATTTAACGTAAATGTGACTGAAATTATAACTACAGAAACGTGCAGTGTTTTATTCATGGGGGGAAATAATTCTAGAAAACACAAGCTGAAGTTAGGTACTTTTATCTTTATAAATAAATGTGGCTTGTTGGTTTTTTTTTATTTTTTTTAAAGATGGTGATTACCCACTGTGTTAATGGCTTTTCAGGAGCATTAAGAATCATATAAATGTCAGATCATATTGGTGTAGGCACCTAAATATGGAATCCATGGGCTGAGTGGTTCTTTTTCTATTGGTTCTACCTGGCTTTTTTCACACGTTAGGACTTTGGTTTGAAATTTGACATTCCTCACTGCAGGGCATATGTTTGTGCTGTTTCTGCAGATTGGAACTTCCGAAACAGATGGCATGAAGATTCTGAAGAATCAGACTTGGACACCCTCTCTTAAAAGTCTACGAACACATTATTTAATTATTGTAGTGGAGATGACAGTTGAGTGTGGAAGAAGACTTGGGGGAGTAGAGTCCAACCTTGCTTCTCTCTCTCCTCCCTCCTCCCATGCTGATTACCTTATGTGCTTTTATTTATTCTTTTAAACACTTTTTGGCTTTTTTTCTCCTTCTGGTTATTTTTTAGTATGAAAGCTACTACCTTTTCCTGTATTAAAATACTTGTCACCATCTATTTTACATTCTGAGTTAATTTGATTAGTGAAATATAAACAGTAATATATTTTATTTTGAGGCAACATTTCTTATAAGAATAATTTTTTTGAGGGATAAAGATGTGTTCCACATACTTCTGGGATCTTGGCTGATTTTTAGTATATTGAAAAATGGAAAGGGGACATGCAGGAATGCTGTACTTCCTTGACTGCTCCCATAGGCAATGAAAATGATTAATGCTTGTCATGCTGAGTTGGTGCTTTCCTCTGATAGGAAGATCTTGGACCTGCTTATTTCTTACTTCCAGTGACTTAAATAGAAGCTATTGAGGTGTTTCTTTTTCTGGCCTTGGGAAGAATTGAAATCTCCTTGTATTTATAAACTAGAGAGGAAAGAAGATTTGAGTGCTACTGAGGTAATTTTTTCTGTCTACTAATAGGTATAGTCAAAGAAAGTGAAACAGCTTGGTTTAGAACAAAGTTTGAGAGTGTATGGTAATGAAACTGTAATGAGAGCTTGTTCTCAATTAGCACCTCTTTTCTTATCTGCTACTTCTCAGACAAATTTTTCAGGGAGGAAAATGGAACAGGGTGGAGATGACTGACCAGCCTAATGCATCATGATAACCACTAATAAAAATAAAGTGGTCACTCAAGATTCCTCATCTCTATGGGAGGTCAGCACAGCTGCATCTTTAGCATAGGTTTTCCACCCTTTAACTCTTAAAACATCCTCTATTTCTAGGAATAGAAGTATTGCAACATAATTCCAAGGAAAAATGGGGTTTTGAATTTATCCTTTTCATCTGATCCACTTCCCTTGGAATAACTACATTCCCAGCAAATCCTACAAGAGACTTTGCTTTAAAACACAACAGAAAGTGCAGACTGAGCGACTTCCAGTTGAAAAAAACCCTCAAAAATCACTCTAACTAATGAGTTTTGCACCATCACGTTTAATTCATTAGGCAAAAACTGTGACAGAAGTTGATGATGGTCTGTTAGGTCTGTTGTCTCCTGCTGCATTTGAATCTCTTGCAAGGAAGAGAAAAAGCGCACAGCGTTTGTGTTCTATAAGGTAGCAGATGTCATAGCTGTGAGCTGGAGTGATCTGTTGTCCTAGACTTGCACAGGATTTATTTCCCTGTACTGGAAAGCTGAGAGAGAATACTCACAGAGAATATAAACTGATTTTTTTTTTCTTGTTGTTTTTTTGTTGTGTTGTTTTGTTTTGCTTTAGCCGTGCTCCTGTAGTCCAAGGCCACCTCCAAGGCTTCCCGCTCCCTGAGCTGAATGGCCACAGGCAGCTCATTATCATGACTTGTGTTGCTGTCTTCAGCATTTTAAAAAGTCTTTTTCTATTTCTTCAGCAATAAAGAGTGTAGTCATCTGCACTGCAACTCTTAACCCTTTTAAAAGGAATTTCTGTTAAAATCATCTGTCAAGAGCCTCAGCATGGGCTGTACGTGCTCCTGCTGTAAAACAAGCACATCACCAAACTTGATGAGTGCCTGGAGAAAACTTTAGTTTCTGGTACATGCCATAGGGTCCCTAGCCAGGGTGCTCAAGTGGATTCCCACCCTGGCTGTATTGGGAGAATATTGAGAAACAGAATAGAATATTTCAGTTGGAAGAGACTTAAAATGGTCATCAACACTTGGAAAGGTGCTTTAATTCTCTCCTTTACTTTCCCCTTCTATACTGTCTCTCCTTTCTGGCACTTTAGCTTGTAAAATCCTTTAGGTTCAGACTGAAACAGACTTGCTGGAGAGACTAATGAAACTGTCCCTGACCTTCGGTGCTGCCCAGAGAAGGACATGTTTTAAGGTGATGGGATGCTGTTTTGTCATCTCACCTCCACAGCCCTCCATCCCATTCACAGTGCACCCTACCAGACACCTCTTTTAATTTAATCCTTGAATCCTTGTAAATTCTGAAGGGATTTAAATATTTCATGCCAGTTTATCCCGAATGGCTGAACATAATTTCTGTGTGACTGGAGTAGGACTTCTAAGTTGTGTGTGTGGAATCAGACTCTGCTGCAAACAGGCTGCATTGCTGCCGGTCTCTCTTGCTTAGCAGTGGGAATGCTGCCAAAGGACAGACATACTATAAAATCAACTGTAGGCATCAACCATGGGTGTTTTGGCAGTACTGAAATCCATAGCGATGTGGTCTTTTTACCTTTTATACTAAATGTAAATACTGGGCTGCAGCTTAGGCCCATGGAAACCTTGGATCTACTTTTTCCAAGTGGATCTGGAAAGTAGATTATGCCTGTTTACCCTGGAAGACTCAAGTTTGAGGCTGTTGATTCATGAATATAAAGAGATTTTTCAGTGTTTTAGGAGCTTGAGTTTAATGTTTCCCATATCCTGAAGATTGGTGTTGTGGCAAGGGTGGCTTAATATCATGTGGAACTCTTGAGCTGCCATCATTTAGTAGCTGCAATATTAAAACAAATCTTCACTAACTTCATGCTTATTTAGTTTGTAAAAAAATTGCTGTATATGTAGTTCCACTGAGAGAAACAGGTGTTTTGGAGAGGAGTTAGGCCATCAGTGTGCTTTAAAATCTCTGTGTGGCTTTCAAATGGAGTTGTTTTTCCTTGATCTGGAGTTTGGAAAACATGAGTGAGCTGACCGGATTTTTTTTTTTAATTATTTTTGGATTTTTGCCGTTAGTAGGAGAGAAGCAGGTGGCAGGAGATAAGTATCAGTTCCTGCCTCATCTTCCTACCAACTTCAACACAAACCAGAGAAGCAGCTGCCATAAAAAGTTAGGGCAACAATGCATTGCTGGTTGTTGATTAGATGCTTGAAATGATCATGTGTTCAGCAAGGCAGCAATTAAAGACTGACTGATGATAACATGCTTGTTTGTCTTTAAAGTAAGAACTTATATCTTGCTGTTTAATGAAGAGTTTACAATGGTATTTAGGTTTTGTGCGTAAAGTCCAGGTGAGGTGTGTCCTGCATTCTCATGGATATGGACAAATTCAATAAACTGAGAGGAGTATTTCTGAGACAAATTAAAAGTATCTTGAACACCCGTTATACTGAGGTTGCCTGTGCTTGTCAAAATTTGAAGCCGCTCAGTAGCATCTCCTGTTTTTATTACCTTAGTATTATGAGCATCTCGAATCTGATTGCTGTTCTCTGAATTAACTCCTTTATCAAATATTTCTAAGTTCTGCAGTCATAGAGTTCTTGAGTTGTTTATGCTCTGTGATTTCTTTTTCAGCTTACTTAAGAATGTATAGTTTCACCATGTTTATTTACCCCTTCATTAACATTTTTTTAAAGTGAATTCATCAGTCTGTCCAGTGTCCTGTGGCAAGGGATGTCCAGTAGCCAAATTTAGAAGCGGAATGTGCTTTGCTCGGCTGTTTTGTTCTCAATTGTACCATTGCACTGGAGAGGAATGGCTGTCTTTCATATTGCATTCTATGTGTATGGGTTCTTGTCTCAGTCATGAAGCTGAGAGAGGAACATATTTGGAATAACTGAAGCAAAGATTAAACTTACGGATATTTTAGAGTTTTTGTTTATTGCAGGTAATCAAAGTGTATAGTGAAGATGATACTAGCAGAGCTTTGGAAGTACCAAGTGATATAACAGCCAGGGATGTTTGTCAGCTCTTGATATTGAAGAACCACTATATTGATGACCACAGCTGGACTCTCTTTGAACAACTTACCAACACAGGTTTAGGTAAGACCAATACTCTGTAATGGTATGGTGGTAAATATGGTGTTGGTTTTTAATTTTCGCATAGAAGTACAATTTCAAGAGAAAGGCTTGGAAGGAAAATGATGGGAAGTCTTGTGTGAATTTGTTCTTCTGGGGGATTGTTGCTTCTGATTCTCTTTTTTTTTTTGAAAGCACAACTATAAAGTGGATTTTTTTATGGTATATTTGCCTCACATTGCTTGATCTGCATTTGTAAGAGTGATTTGGAAGACACTGACAGTTAAGATTCTCACTGCAAATTCTTCCTTACCCTTCCTTGCTTTTCTTTGGCAGTCCTTCCTCTCTTACTGGTATTTCGTGCTTATCTCTAGAAAGACTGGGGTTGTTTTCATTGCTGATAAAATCCTGTTTGTTCCCAGGGCACCTGAGTGAATCTCTGACATCAGGGACAGAAAGCAGTTACACAGTGCTATTCTACCTGGACAATAGTACTCAGTCTTCAGAAACAACATCAGAGTGGGCTGTCAGTATTTTCCTGCAATACAATCAGTTTGGCTGGATTTATGGTGAACTCTGGGACAGGGCTACTTAAAAAGCAGACCTAAACCATTCTTCTAAACTTCCAGATATGGACCAATGAACTGTGTTGAAGTGACTCTATGTGTAGTATTTTAAGTTGCTGGAAACAAAATGTTCTGAACTCCTTTCACATCATCAGTGTTCCTCTAGTGTATTCTTTTCCTCTTTTACAGTACTCCTCTACTCTTTTTCTATTGTACAGTTTCAAAGGTGTAATCTGTGGTTTCAGAACATAACTATAACTCCTGGTCTCTTTCTTTTTTGAAGTGTATAGGTGTACTTTTGCAGTATAAAAACAAAAAGGCAAATTAACTATAGTGAGGAATGGGATGTTTTTAGAGATGTAAAACATGCAGCACTCAGGAAAGACTTCTCTCAGCAAGAGATGAGTTTAGAGGTGCACTGCTGGGATATAGTATTGAACTGAAACTCCAGACAATCTTAATTCCTTTTACAGCACTATGTTTCTGTACTGTATTGTGTATAGTTTTGATAGGAAAGTATATTAAAAAAAATCTACTAGAGACAAATGCCATAAAAAAATCTGGTTTTAATTTCACGTCACCCAAAGTTTGCATATTATTCTTGAACTTTGGCACTGGACTGGAGTTACAAAATGTAGTACTTCTGCAAATTCAAGGGCAGTTGCAGATGCTAGTGTAAAGTGTGGCTTGAGAAAGAGGATGTTCTGGAGGCCTTCCTGCATTCTAAAATATGTAGGAAACTCCTTGGAGTTCTTAATTCTCAGAAGAGACTGCACTGGTACCTGGTAACTCCAGTACTGTTGATTTAACAAAAAGAGTACACATCACAAACAAAAAACCAAATACCCACACACACTTCCCCCCAGCCCTGGATATTTAAATATGTCTGAAAGCTGTTTTAAAAGTCCTTTTCTCTGTATGTATGTAGGGAATGCAGCCTTGTACATTTGTAGAAAATAAACTTGACTCTGCATCTCTGACTCAGCTGTGTTCAACAGCTGTTTTTTAAGGATGAACTACAAGAGCTAAAACTGGTTTCTGCCCTTTAATACTCCTTTATGTTATGAAGGCAACCACAAACGTTTTTCAGATTTCTTCTCTTGCTTTGTAACATTTCAAAGGTATTTGTAACCTTTTGCACTGAATATATCAGCTGTAAGATGCTTCCAACTCAGAGTAAGGTCAGAGTTAAATCTGGGTCGGGGCTGTAAACGACTGCTATAGAAGAGGATGTAGCAAAATGGCTTTAGAAAACACTTTTACATAAATAGCAAAAGTGTTTTCTGTGTTTTATAGGGTAGCTGGTGTTTAAGGAGTGCAGTAACTATTGAAGAAGACACCAGAGACAAACCATGCCAGAACAATAGTGGCACTGTTTCTCCAGGTTTATTTATTTGCATAGTACACTTTTTGCCAAATAATCTGTTTTTGTCAATCTGAAGGTTTTCTTGGAGGATTTCAATATCAAATAATTAGTGAAGTTGCTTTTCCTAAAATTCTGATGCTCTCAAAATTGCTGGAGACCTACATTAACCATCCAGTCTTCTGACTGCTCCAACTGCTTCCAACATAGTTCTAGAAAAGGGTTCATTTTAAAAGTAAAATTGTTTCCTAGATGATGAGGTTGGCAATTCAACACTGCTAACCAAGGAAAGGAACAACTTGAGATATCCTCTATTTATTTTTTTTTATAGTACCGAATGATAATAGAATCATTTTTATGATACTGTTAGATCTGATTTTGTTTGAAAGGTTTAAGATATTGATCTTGACTTGCATTAAGTATGTTCTTAAGAACTGGATGAGTAGCTTGAACAAACATTTTTCAAATGATGAGTTAGTTTTGGATTGTTTGCTATTTATTATTGCGTGTTTTACTCATGTAAATTTGGACAGTCATTTTCATCTCACAAGTTAAGTGAATTGGTAATGAAAGGAATGAGTGGAATGAAAGCTGTGAGCGAGTGTGTATGTCTGTGTAAATTCCATTATGATGTGGATTAATAATTCATCCATCAATTAGTGAACATTTTCTTTAACATCTAACAGCTGTCTGAATACTCCTGAATTAGATATAATTGCATGAATCTCAGTGAGCTGAGCACAGCGTTCTACTTTTAATCAAGACAGACATTAATTACATCACTGTATTATGCCTTCATTTCTGCATGGAAGTATCTACTGTGAAGGTTTAAAAAGGGAAAAAAAAACCAAAAACCACCAAAACTGCCACCTAAACCAAAGCATAAACCCATAGTCTCTACATTTTAGTTTTCACAAACATATATGCCCTTTGGTGTGGAGCTGTATTGTTGAACATTAAGCATGGTCGTGGTCCTTGCTGTATTGCCTGGCAGGTGCTGACCAGGTAGAATTGGCTCAGGGTGAGTGGGCAGGTGAGGCGGTCCTGCTTCCTGGGGCACTGGCTGGTGACCCCTGTCTGCCTGCCATGGAGCACCCACACTGCACCCAGCCCATGCCTTGTCACCCGGGATGCTCAAACTTCCTCCCCACCCCCAAAGCTTTGCAGTAGCCTGGGCGCTATTTCAAATATCTGAAGTTCAACAATTATTGCAGCCTTATAAATGACAATATATTTCAGAACTGTGTGTTTCTGGTATGTGTCCTCTTTGTCTTAACATATTGAATTCAAATAAATTTTTTAATGTTTTTCACCTTGTCTAAGATTACTGAGGACAGCTGAAACATGCCTATATTTGGATGATGCCAGGTACCTTGGTGCTGGGAGTCCCATACTTTTAGTGCAATTCCCCTGTGCAAGGCAGGCTCTGAAAACAGAACAGTTTGCCATAACTGTTGTCCTTTTCAAGGGAAGTACTGTCTTCATCCTGAATTTTTTCCTTTTCTACTGAGAAATTTTTGTGTTGACTGTAAACAGTTTTCTGTTTGCTTCTGCAGCTGAACACGTGTTCCAGGGCTCCTCCTTGAGTAGGTGATAGTGCCTTGGCCAGGCAGATCATTGGTGTCTTTCAGTCTCTCATTTTGATTTCACTCTCTGCGTTCTCTTAGGTAGCCTGTGGGAAAGCTTGTAAAGCACTATCTGTGCAATAATACTGAGCAATGGCTTTATGGTTTTTATTTAGTTTAAACTTTTTTCCTTGATGGGTGGCCAGAGAGGAGGCTACCTGAAAGGTGTCATGCACTTCAATATTAAATCTTCTTTTATGTGCATTAGTTACTTTCCATAGTTAAGGAGACTGTTTTGGATTGTAAGAGGTACTTCTCATGTTAGAGACAGTAATAATAAAGAACACAGAAAGGAAGGTAGAAACTCTCCAGTCTAGAAGAGAAAAATGATCTACCTCAACTGAAGTACAGCTTTTTTATGTCAACATTTAGGGATTTGATTACAGGGCTATGTTTTGGAGGGCACTAACTCAGTGTTTCAGTTCCTTTAGGAAAGTAAGTTGACTCACTTGTAAAATATTCTCTGATGTGACACCTTAAAAATGAAGAAATACCAGCATCCTTACCCATCCATTGGGGTGATGCAGAATGTCTTATTTTTCTGCCAAGAAGTAAGTCTTGAGGAAATGGTGTTTTCTTAAATGTCACAATGCCATTTAAGAGTTTTAAATGTCATCCCAGAGGAGCATTTTCTCTCTATAAAGCTGGAAGAAAAAAAAACAACAAAAAAGAAGCTAGTTTTAAGTAAGAGCATCAGTTCTTTAGGGTCTCTTTATCCTTCCATCTAAAGAATGTGTTTTGGAGTAGAGAAGCCTGTACAAGATTTTAAAATGCTTTCATTTCTTTCTTTCTTTTTGGGGTATTTTCTGTTTTCTGAATTGCTTTATGGTTTTATTTGCTTCATTTAATCTGGTTAAAAAATGTGATTTTCATATAGCATCCTTAATCTCTGTCTTTATGGACTCACGTATTAGTTAAATTCAATGAAAAAGGAGTTAAATTCAGTTGAAGTTTAACTTTGCTCCATTTCATCTGTGGATCATGAGAGTTCTTTGTCTTCTACTACTCATGAGCTTGATATTTGCTTTTGGTTTTTTTGTTTGGTTGTTTGGTTTTTAAAATTTGTTTGTGTTTTTTACAGGAAGAGCTATAGAAGACCATGAATTAGTGATGGAAGTTCAATCAAATTGGGTAATGGAAGAGGAAACCAAACTGTATTTTAGAAAAAATTATGCCAAGTATGAGTTTTTTAAAAATCCCCTGGTAAGTCCTAACATTATATCTGTGAAGTAATGCAAAGACGAAATAGTCTTTTCTATTACAAAGAGACAGGCAGAGTGTAAAGTTGTTAGCGTAATGTGAGTCAAAAGGAATTATTGAGAGGGAATATATGAAATGTGGGAATCTATTGTAGTGCATATAACTGTTGGCCAGTCCCTTTGTTGCAATTGTAAAACATCCATGTTCAATATTTTATTGTTTGGGAGTGAGGGGGTCAGCAATGGGTTTAACTTTATTGCACACGGACCTGCAACAAAATAAATTTTTTGCAATTGAGTGAACTTTCCGTCAAGTGACAACAAAACAGCAATGTGAGGAGAGGTACCTGTAGCAAAGATGATTTTATTGTTGAAGTGCAGATTGAATATTATGGCCCAGTGCTGCTCACTGGCAGCTTTTCCCAGCTGCAGCTAAATGACAACTGACACAAAAGGCCATGAGCAGCCGTAACCTATTAGGGGTAAGTGAAAGTGAAGCCAAAGTAAGTGTACATAAGGAATGGAAAGAGAAGAGATGAGTTGTAGCTTAGGGTTGTTGCCAAAGGTTAATAATGCTGATTCAGACTTTGGCTGATGGCAAAGGCCGTGGAAGCAGTCCTGGCTCAGCAGGAGAAACCATCTGGTTGTTCGAGTGCATGGTGTATTTGGACCACTCCTAATGCTGTCTCTTATAAAGCCAGCTCGTTTCAGATGTCAAAGGGAGAAACAACAGAAATATGTGAGGGCTGAAAAGGTAACAAGTGGAAGGGAACTCAAATTATCTACCTGTGAAAAGGATAAGAAGGTAAATATAAGAATACCAAAAAATATAAGAGATCTGAGAGGTTTTTTGTTTGAGTCACCTCAAACATGCACAAATCATGTACTCCCCACATATGGAGATATCAGTACACCAGTAAAAAATTTCTTAGCTTGAGATGGTCTGTAGTTAGTAAAGAAGCTTTCACAGAATCACAAAGTAGGTAAAGTTGGAAGGGACCAGGGTCATCTGGTCCAGCCTCTCTGCTCAAGCAGGGTCATCCTAGAGCACATGGCACAGGATTGTGTCTAGACAGTTCTTGCATATCTCCAGTGAGGGAGACTCCACAACCTCTCCAAGCAATCTGTTCCAGTGCACAGTCACCCTCACAATAAAGATATCACCCTCACAATAAAGATATTCTTCCTTATGTTCAGCCAGGACTTCCTATCATTGGTTTCTGCCTGTTGCCTCCAAAGACTGAGTTCATGTGTTGGTTAAGCAGTGAGTGGAGCCAGCTGTGGAGTGTGGCAGGCATGCAGCTATAAGTAGGGTCAGCAGCTGTAGCTCATCAGAGTTCTTGCTGTTCCTGCTGAGTGATTCTTCTGAGCACTGTGTAGCAAGAATGCTTTATCAGAATAAATTTATATGAATTAAGCCTACCAGTAGTTCAGTGTTACTAAAAGTGGGCATTGGGTGGCCAAGGGAATATTAGCTTCAAACTTTTCCAGGCCTTGAGAAAACATTATTTGCGATGGTCAAACCCTTGTCTGGTTCATATCTACATGACTATATTGAACTCCTCAGCTGCAGGTCTTGAGCTTTCTTCATAATGAAATTGGCATTTTAAATGTGGACTTTTTAATCCCATCATGTTGATGTAGTCAGATTTTTATGTTAATTCATATCATACAAAGTGGAAAATTAAAAAACACCAGAACTTATGCTTATGTATTAACGGAAGTTATTCCAAAATTTTTACTGTTTTTTTAAAATTTATTTTATTTCTAGTGTAATGAAAACAATAAAAAACAATATACTTTTTAGCACATTGGTGTATATCCTCCCTACTTTGTAGCATGTTTAATCCCCAGGCAAGTTGTGTGTCAACAGCAATAGAAATTACTACCAGAAAAACAACGCTTAAGGCTCAAATATTGCAATATGAGGCCCAAATATTGCAATATGATTTGCACTGCTGTCTGAAAATTCTATTCCAGAGACCATTGATGTTTTCTCAAAATTCTAAGTTTTTCAGCAAATAATACATAGGATGTCAGAAATTCTGGGATGACATTAAAGTAAGCTTAAATTATTGGATCAGGGAATCTGCAGTGTCTTGCACTGCATTGAGAACTTAAATTGGACATCCAAAAGAGATAGAAAGTTTTATATTTACTTTCACAGAACTTTCATACAAATTTTTTTTGTTATAGAACTTTTTTCCAGATCATATGATATCTTTTCCAAGTGAGACAAATGCTGCTCTAAGCCACTCTGGGATATTACAGGTATGTAACCCCTCAGTGAAGATGAGCCAGCATAGCTCAGAATTTCCCATTGTCTGTGTTGTGTGAGCATAGTTCTTTGTTGCTATTGGATCTGTTGCTCTATTTTGAATAACTCAAAACATGGTTAATAACTTTTTTCCTTATGATATACGAAATGTTAGTCCTTTTCAGGCAGTTATTATATGTCCACACTTGCAAACTTGCACATTCTTTCAGAATCAAGAAGCACCAAAACAGACAAAATGCAGTGAAAACGTTAAATATCTTTATTGGGTATTTTAGGTGAAAGACCCTTTTTCCTTAAAAAGTGTTGCAGTACTCAGGACACACTTAGCAGAAGGGTATGGTAGAATACTGAAGAACTTGTAATGTGATACAAATGGATATAAAAAGGAGCTAAATGGTTAAACTTAACATGTAGAAAATTTAGACTGACTAGTATGATTTGTTAGCTTGAAGGCTACTGTAGCCTTCAAAAAAAATTATGGTAGGTCACTCAGTGTTAGTCATCTTTTAAGCAGACACAAGATTCTAATTTACAGTGAGAATAATGAAGTGATAATACAGAATGACCATATCAGGGATCATCGTCTTGCTTTCAAAGAGGGGAAAAATGAGTAATAAAGGTGGAAGCATACACATCACTCTTGTTTGCTTGTCACTAGAAAAATTAAATAATAGAAGAAGAACTTCCACTGGTCTTAAGACAACAACACTATGTATGAGTTTTGGTGATCAAGAATAACTGGAAAGGCAACATAGTAACATAGGATATTTAAGGTAGAAGTAAAAGAAACAGAAATTACATTTTTTTAAAAAATCTATATAGTAAAGTCTACCTTAGCATCCACCAGTAAATGAAAAACATTTTAAAGAACTAATTCTCAAAGGATTTCTCTGTATTAAATAGTTGTATCCTTATAAAAATGAATACTAATCAAGAGGTTAAGATTATCCGAAATGTAGTAAAAAATGTTGGAAATTAAATTTGACACACACTGGAATCTCAAAGTCATTTTTACAAACCTAAATAAAATCTTTGTAATTTCAAAAGTACTGCATATCTACTGAAAATGGGTCTACTTTTGCTACCTAAATAACAAATAGTTAGTAGTCTAACATAAACATTTAATTTAGAAAATCCTGTCCCCTGTATTAATATAAATTTATATTTTTTTCTTCCAAATATAATTTGGTCATTTGAAAAAAATGATACTTTTATAAGGGAGCAGTTTGCATATACTTTTGCACAGAACTTCCTTAAGCCCATATTGTGATATCTAGAACATGTGCAGAGCTTCTGGGTAAGATTAAGAATAATTCTAAATGTATCTAGTTACTTGCCATTTTGATAGCTTGAAAAATATGTTGCAAACTCTCCTCTGTTGCTCTTTTATGTTGTATTGTATGTTTAATTGTATTTCATCAAATAAAACTTAGGAGGCACAAAGTAGAGAATACCTTGGTGGATTGTGCAGCCGTTGTGCACGTTTCAGCAGAAGCTGTTGGGTAAATTGTTTACAGTGAGTCACTATTTCCTTGGAAACTCTCATTAAGACAAGTTAATGGGCTTGCATTATTATTTGTGATGTGCTTAGTCAAGTATCAAGAGAGACATTAGTTTTAACAACTGAATGCTTACAAGTGATTAAAAAACCACTCTGATACTATTACAACTTTTTGTGGATTGAGCTGTAAGCAAGTAAAATGTTTTTCGGGCATGTTTTTCTTGACTTTCACTGAAAGTAAAAGAGTGAGTATTTTGGTGGATGACCTTAAATCAGAGCATCTTTGTAGAACAGAGCCACAAAACCAAAAAGAAGTCATCTGTCTCTTATCCATTTAGCATGTGCTAAGTAACAATACTAGGTCTGGGGTATACTGAATGTCTGTGTATACCAAAGAGAGAGGTTTAATCGCTGCTGTGAAGATCTTTAGCCTAAAAAAGAAGTGTGTCACTGTATTGATTACAGTATAGCTGCTCTGAGACACAACACTCTGTACATGTCTAGTGCTAGGCAATATGGATCATTTGGAACTTGCTTCAGGTTATTTTTGCAAATTGGATGCTTTAAAATATGTCAAGAAATGAATGTAGTATGAAGATTTTAAGATTATTATTATTAAGAGCCAAGCTTTTAATGTCTTTAATTGCTCTGCTGTATCAACAAGTCTCTCTTTCCCTGGCTAGTTTTTCACCTGACTCCACCATTCCAGTCTTCAGGCTGAAATAGCCATGCACTGAATTGCAGTCTCTTGTCAATCTCCTGGATGTTGTTTTAATCTGCCTGTTGCCTTTCTCCATCTTCCACTCTAGGTTTTCTTGGCTTTTCTCCTGGTTTAAACTCCTCAGGTTGACTGAAGTCTATAGGAGACAATACTGAGAATGAGAATCAGTTCTTCACTAGAATTACTTGATGCCCCGAAAATTTCTCAGCAGGTTCAGGGTAAAATCCAGGTCATTCCCAGTATCATTGGTCTGGATTGTGGCCAGCTGTCTCACGTCTGTGAAGAAATCAGTCATCAAATTCAACTTGATTCACAAAGTCTTAGGATAATCATGGCTTCTTTAACTCTTCAAAACACTTTGTAAATGCTCAAGAAGCATCTACCTTAGCAGATGTTCCTGTTTCTGCAACCACTCTCTCCTTGAAAATGTTGAAGATGCAGAACAAATAAGTTGTATAGTTAGGAGTGCAGCTCTCAATCTTTATTGCATTCAGTGACGCATGATTTCTGCAGCTTTTATTACTATATTCATCTGAGAACTGCAATGTTTTTTCACTTTCTGATAGATTTGATATTTTGTTTATTTGTTTAGGTTTATTTTTTTTTTAAAAAGACATTTAATTACTTTGTTTTATATTTGGATTGGTTTTAAATTAGTTAGGTTTTACAGCTAGTCAAATGGTAATTGAGTCCTTGGTGCTGTTATGTATTAGTATCTGAAAGACACGGTGGCATTTGACACCACTCTACATATCATGTTATATATTTCACTCTGTGAGGAAGAGGGTGCAAGTTGTGCAAGTTTATTTCTGCATATTGTGTGACCACTAATCCCTGTCTGCAGCATACCATCATTTAACTCCCCCCTTTTCTTCCAGTATTGAAGACTTTGCTTATTTTTGTCCTATAATGATTACCGCTTATCTGCATAAACAGGGATCTGTTCCCTTCTATAGTAAACTTGCATGTACCTCCACTAAAAAGCCCAAAACAACAAACTAAAACAGCCACAAAAAACCTGACCAAAACCAACTTGCAACAAAAGAATCCCAAGGAAGGTATCTTTTCTACTATTGTTCATTTTTGGCATTTATTACAGACATTCAGTTCTCACTCTGAAATATTTTTATTGCTCATCTTTCTGACAGTTAATGGTTTTGACTACAGCTTGTTCATGTTCTATTTTCTCACAGAGTCCTCAGCTGTCTTGGAAAGGAAAAGATGGATTTAGGATTGCCTTTTTCCTAGCATTATTGCTACTTTATTTTAATTGATAGCTTGGGTACAACAGTTACTGTTGAAGCTTAGCATTGTATTGCTCCTCGACTTTGGTCTGCTGAGTAAGAAAAGTGTTTTTCATGACAGAATTTCTGATTTGAAGCTCTTATGGCAGGAATCCTGGGGAAGACACTTGTGCAGGCAGGAAGCCAACCACTCCTTTCAGCTTCAGCAGAGATATTAAAGCCTAAAAAGATGCTCTTTTGTTTTTTGCATACATTGACTCGTTTAGATTATCCTAAAGCTTCCATTTGACTTTGTTTGTGAATTTTATACTTTTTCAATTCAGCCTTTATATTCCCCACCAGTGAACCTGTTAATATGTGGCAAATGGAAGATTAACAGGCTGGAACGCCTACCAAGACCTACCCGTCTGCTTCAATGTGGCTAAAATAGCTTAAACTACATTTGCAGACAGCTGTGTGCCAGCAGCACATGTAGATAGATGTACCTATTTTTGCTGTAATTTAACTATTTGGATGAATAGCAGTGAAGCTGCTCATAGCATATTCCTGGTTGTGGGCCAAGGCACTCCCCTGGCCAGTGGAGCCTGCCCATGGTACTTCATTCTCACCAGCTCAGGTTGGTCTGCAGGTGGTACAGTTGTGCATCTCACTGCAAGCTAGGAAAACAATGAACGTCAAAGAAACCTTATGTATCTTGGTTAGTTTGCATTATTTAGTGGCCACAGAACTTGGTGTACTTCCAAAATCACATTCACTTTTTCATTCTGCTGCTGTCCGGTAATGGCCAGTCTGTCTCTTGCCTTGTAATCTGTTGCTTCATTCCTCAAATCAGATTTTCTGGAAATGGCAGTGGATAGGAAGAAAATTCAGCCATGAAAGCTGCAGATATCAAACAGAAACCCCTTTGATCCCTACCTCTATGTGAGCCTAGATAGTATTTGTGATACCACAGGCCAGCCTGGGGCAAGGTCCTTTAAAGACCTTGGCAGTAACACAGATTCCCTTGCATATATATGGAAATAGAAGAATTCTGGGTTAATATGTTTAGAGTCATAGTTCTGAGTAGTTTTATTGGAAGAAGAGTGATAAAAATTAATGCATTACAAGGAATTAGAGTAAAGTTAATGTTGTTGCTAGCTTTTGGTGGGTACTTTTGCAGCCTGAGTAGAACTGTTTTAAGCCTCAGCAAGATAACAGCTGTGTTGCACTCTGACAATGTCTCATTGAAATGGCTGAAGAGAAGCCACGGAGTATCTTGAGTAGAGGCAGGACCTGTCTTGGGGACTGGCTCAGTCTCTCTGGTTTTGGTTCAACTAAAGCTCTAATTTCAGTACCACTTCAGGTGTTGAGACCTTTACTCCCTCCTTTTGAAAATGCTAATGCCTGACCTCCATGGATTTGTGATTCAGAGTTTGTGGTTTTCTTGTTGAATAATTTTAACTCAAGATAAATTCTCTTCTTTGGTTTGTAACATGGGTCTGGGGAAGGGATATTTTTTTTCTTCTGTTGGTAGCATTGATTAGCAGTTTTATATAAACAGGGTCTGAAGCATGGGGTCGGTACTTCTTACACTGGTTTTGTTGCTGAAGTTAACATATTGCAGAAGTAATGCTCTCATTTCAAACCATATGTTCCATATAAATATGTAACTTGCTTAGCATACCTTGGAGTTGTGTAACATTCTACATGCTTTAAATCAGAGGCACTGTTAATGGGATTAGATGCAATCATAATTGAATTACTGTGGTGTGATAGTGTATTTAGGGGTTTATTCCCCTTAGTCCTGTGTATGTTAATGAAACGGAAAGCTGGTTTTGGATGAAAAGAGAAATGGAAGTCTGATATTTTCTTTCAGATGTTCCTAAGCTCCAGCACGTATCCTGAGATTCATGGTTATTTGCATGCAAAGGAGCAGGGAAAAAAATCGTGGAAAAAACTGTACTTTCTTTTGAGAAGATCTGGGCTTTATTTTTCTACTAAAGGTACTTCTAAGGTAAGGGAGGAAGGAAAAAGAGAGTCAGAACTATGAGGTCAGAGCAAAGATGTATTTATTTGTCATTTGTTGTAAGAATAAAAAAATTTTATAACTAAATAATTTATAGGAATTAAAAAAACCCAGTTTATTATAGATAAACTCTAGAGAGAGAATGAGGTATAAAATTGGGAAAGTGTTGTCTTAGAAACTGTACTTTCTTTTTGCCTGACAAGTTTGCTTCATTATGGTTAATATTTTTCCAATCAGTTAACAGAGTACCCTTTTAAAATGAATTTTCAAATACCAGTTAAAATTCTGAAGTACGAGTAGATGCTCTGAAAAGCAAATATAGCACTTGATTATCTAAACTTAGAAATTTTACAGGATGACTTTGGAAGTTCTCAAAATTTGTCACTGGACAGTTTTTCATTCTACTAGTTCAAATTTTTCATGGTGGTACTTTAAATCTTATCATATTAAACATCGGAGTTGAGACACCTTTTTTAAGCAGCTAAACTACTTAAACCAATATTTTTTTCTTGTTCTGAATTTGCTGTAATTAATGCCAGGGTATTCATTGAGCTGGTTTTGTATACTTCAGCAAATGTCTTTTCTTTGGTTCCTTAAGATAATTAACCTTAGCTGGTGGAGATAATGGTTAGGAATAGTACTGGGCCCTAATTATTACAGTATTTTGTTTTTCAGATTGTGAATGTATATTTTATTTTGATTTTTGAAATGCATATTGTTCTCAAAATTTGACTCCTAATCTAGTATTATTATGGCTTGAATTTAGTTGAAGTTATCCCAAAAACTATATCATTTGTAGTTTGTTGGTTTTCCCTCTCAAGAAGAATAAACTCTTTAAGTAGTTTGTTTTTTTTATCTCTGCGTGATAAAATTAATATTGACTTGCCTCTTTCTAGATTTCATGATGTCACAGTTAAAACTGCAGTATGTAAGACTGTATTTTGGAACAGAATAATTACTTTCTCTTCCGAGTTTCTTGTCTAGAGAGGCTGGCTAAAAGTAGTCTAACTGTATTACATTGCTTTTCTTTTTAGGAGCCAAGGCATCTGCAGTTTTTCTGTGAATTCAGCAATAGTGATATGTACATGTCTTTAACAGGCAAAAAGATTTCTGGAGCACCAACAAACTATGGATTCTGCTTTAAGGTACAAGCTTATTATTCTGATACATATTAAAGCAAGCCACAGTTTTTAGGTAAGCTTAAGTTTCTTTAAGGTTTTTGAAAACAATATTCAGCTGTCTATTATAAAATAGGAGAATTAGTGGCTTTTATTTCAACAGGTATTATCTTCAAGATATGCATTAATGCTAAAAAAAAATGTGCTGTGGCCTTCTAGCCTAACAAATCAGGAGGAACCAGAGACCTGAAACAGCTCTGTGCAGATGATGAACAAAGTAGGACCTGTTGGATGACAGCAATTAGGTTGCTTAAGGTAATTTTTCTGTGTGAGTGAACTTCTTGCTGAAGCTGAGTGTGTGATATTTTGATGCTGTGCAGTAAAGAAGTAACATAATTTTAGGTTTCCACGCAATAACAATATCAGTTTTGTACTCTGAAAGCTTATTTATATTTATCCCAATGAACAGAGAGAGACCAAATTGCTGAGGGGTTTGTAGGGGATGAAATGATGCCTCAGTCCTGAAAATATTTAACATTAAGCATATACTTCTGTGCAACTATGTTGGATTCAGTGAGTTTGTTGAACATTGAATAAAGCAAAAAGAATACAAAAGAAGGGAACTTCAGTGTTTTAAAAATGTGTCTGTGTTTGTGACAGAATAGGAATAGGTAAGAGTGCATATTAAGTGAGTGGTATTTAATGCAGAGTGTACATTTATAAAGGCAGGAGGAACAATGATGATGTACATTTCCTTATCCTAGCAGTGTTTGTGTCGGGTTTTAATGGTGAAGTAAAGAATGTGTTATCTTTTACATCTGAAAAAAAAGCTTACTTGGCTTAAGTTTACAATTTAAAATGCTAACCATGTTATTTTCTGGTTTTAGTATGGGATGCAGCTGTATCAGAATTACATGCAACCATATCACGGTAGAAGTGGCTGCAGCCCTTTGAATTTATCATCTATGGTAGGTCCCACAGTAGCTCCATGAATAAATAAATAAATACATGTTTCTGCCGTCATGCTGTTTTTAAGTGACTTGTGTCAGTTATACTACTGAACTGGTCCTTCCAAACCTTGCATGTGCGAATGCTTGCTGCAATCTTTAGGGCTGTCAGGGTTGACTAGAGAGCTAATAAATTAATTTACTTACTTAATATAAATTGGGTAGTTTGGAGTAGTTAAAAGGCTTTTTCCCTTTGTCAAATCTCCCTCTGTCAAAATGAATGAAAAGAGGGTTTTGAAAACAAAGCAGCAGAACTATAAATGCATTAAAAGAGAAGTAAAGTGTTTAAGGTTACATATGCTGTAAAGGATGAATAAGCAATTTGTAAAAAATTCTCTTCAGCATACTTCGCATTTAATTTTTTTTTTTTTTAAATCATAAAATATGAAGTGCTTGAGATGAATTCCAAGTGGTGTAATACTGATTGGACTTCAGAGGAAGATCATAATTTGGCAGGACTGGGTTATGGAATAAAAACAGCCTATGTGTCCATCTCCTCAGTCAGATAGTTGGGATTGTCCTTTTCTTTAATATCTTATGTTATCCCACTTCTTTAGGAGTAATTTGATTTCAGACTTTTTCATGGATGATTTATATCCCTTTTGTGGGTTTTTTTTGGCTAAACAGGATAAAAATTACTTGTTGCAGGGACTTGTGACAATGATTTTATGGCGGATTTATTTTTAGTTTTTATTATACTTCTAGCTAGTAAAATGCCTAAAACCCGCATTTGCTATTACAGGCATTCACAAAAATAGTTTTCAGTAATATTGCTGATAAGCATGGCTTCAGAATTGTGCTTAATACTCTGACTGTGTCTTTACTTTGAGTTCTGTGAAGCTGTTGCAATTGGCAGCTGTGCTCTTACAGTGGACCTGGGAGCCATTACTGATTCTCTCCTCTTACACTGTTGTGTGCATTTAGCTCCCAGAGCTTCTAACACGGGCAGAATCTATAAGCACTGTTAACAGTGGCACTGTTTTTCTCCTTGTGTATAACTCACAAATTAAACACCATATTGAATAAACTTGGGGATCGAGTGCACACACTAATAAATGTGCTTCAGGAGGGAGTCAATTCCATGTTTCACATTCCTCAATAACTCTCAACCATGTCAGCTACAAAAAGTTTCCTTCACTTTGCTGGAGGCAAACATTTTATTTTATCTTCGTTTTTTTACTTTTGCAAAGTTCTTTGCAAGTTACAGTTACTCAGAGAGACCTTAGTTACAGTATCAGGAATTACCCGGAACTATGGAATTGCTCTCTTCCATTTCTAGTTGTATTCATGATTGTAACCAAGAACAAAACCGAGCTGCTTTGGGACTGGGAAGTTTTGCTAACCCTGTGGAAATCTGGGCCTCTTGTGTATAGATCTTACTTTAACTGGTAGAGTGCTAGAATATTCTTTTAGTTATTAGATATTCCAGTGCCTGCCAGCATTTGAGCCATTACAATCCATATGAAACTTGGTTTTGTAAACCTTGGTTTCTGAGAAACATTTTGGTGATTTTTACGACTATTTTGTCAAACTTCAATGTTTTCATTCTGTTGTCACTGAGAGAAAAAAACACAAGCTTTTTTTTCATAACTGATGCTGCAGTTATTGAGTCTGTGATAAGAGTTAGAAGGGATGTATTAAAATGGAAGTTATACTCAATAGAAATTGCTGTTTTCAATGCTTAAATCTGGTAAAATCTGAGTGGAAGTTTATGTATCAAATATATAAATTTATGACATTTATAATGAAATATTTTGAATATTTTTTAATTTGAGCATTGCATATAAGAATTTTATATTTTTTCTTCTTTTCCTTTTACTTGGACATCTCAATAACAGTTTCATGACTTGTTTTGACATGCAAAGGGCTAGTCATAGTTAAAAATATAAATAGAGTTTATGGTAAAGCAATGTATTTATCATCCATTGCAGTAATGCAGAAAGATGGTCTGTCCTGCCACATTGTAAAATTGAGCTTTGCTGCAGCATACTGGAATTACAAATACTCCCTAGGGTAAAATGAGTTTGGCTCTGATGGGAAACACTGCCGATACTTGAAACATCACTTACAAAACATAGTGTTTTCTCAGAAGCTCACTTTTAAATGATGGATCTTGTAAAAAAATGGGCAAACTAATTTATTTTTCTTTGTTACAGAGAAGCATTTCAGAAAATTCTTTAGTAGCAATGGATTTCTCAGGACACAGAAGCAGAATTATAGAAAATCCAACGGAAGCCCTTTCAGTTGCAGTTGAAGAAGGATTAGCATGGCGGGTATAAACACCTTTGCTTTACCAGAATAGTATTTGCTGATTTGCTTTTTGTTTTAGCAGAAAAGCTTTGAAATCATGTTTTTACTTCTCTCTCTCATACAGAGGAGAGGGTGTCTCCGACTCAACTCACATGGTAGTCCTATTGCCATGTCTAACATGGGTATGTGTGAGTTAATTAATTGCTAGAGAAATGCAATAACTGGGTCTTTCAGTAAGGGGAAAATATTTTTCATAGATCTTTATTTCTACAGCTATACACAGATCTCAGTCGTGGTTTCATCATAAAATCTCTAGAGAAGAGGCTCAGAGACTTATTTTGCAGCATGGACTTGTAGATGGGTAAGTTAATTCTTTACACAGCTTGTTTGAGACGTGTTCCTAGTCAACAACTCCTGCTTTTTATTGGAGAGGAGTTGGAAGAAGGAGGAGTTTGCACTAACCTAATAGGAATAAAAAGTCTTTTATATAGGGCTGTCTGGGGATCTGTTGGTTTCTATTTTATATCGTTTGGAAGCAATAAAGTGGTGATCTAAGACTTTGATTCTGTCACTGACCGATTACTTATGTCCGCTCAGAGCCAAGCACTTGGGCTCTGTATTTGCACAATATTCTCTGGGAACTGTCAACTTTGGCACCAGTGTCTTTTGTATCTCTTAGTGATGAAAGTATGAAAGCAAGCCTGAAAAGATTATTCTGAGATGAACTGTGCTGGGACAGACATTGAAAGAAAGTATGTTTTTTCACATGAGTTGACTAAAAATTGTATCATCCTTTAATAGTAAATAGTAAACGTTAGGATAAGGCTTTTATTTTTCTCTCATTTAAATATTAATTAAAAAAAATTACAAAGTAAGTACGTATTCTTTGTTCAGATCCTCCTGGTTTTCATTCCTGTATTTCTATCCTTACTCCTGTATTAAATGTAAACTTGGACCTCCTTCATTCAGTGAGTAATTCCATAAAACTCTCAGTTTCTTTGAGTCTGTTTTCAGTTAAGTACCTGGAACATCAATTGCTGGTTAAATTCCTTCAGTTTTAGGCTAAGTATGTTGTAATACTCTTTTCTACATCTACAGAAAGGGTTCCAGGAAAAAAAAAAAAGTGAATGGAAGGAAAGGGGGAAAGAAACAGTCATACTCAGTGCAAGAATTGTTAATTAGTCTTCCACTTTTGTATTTTTATTTATTTTTTAATTTCAGGGGTCCTGTTTTTAGGCCTGGCTAATCATCCTGAAACTGATTGTGTACTCTGCATTTATTTTTGCATTTGTTACGTGAGAGGGACATGACATGGGGATGCATCCCCCATATATTTCTGAGCAGGATGTCATTCCAGGCCTGCTAATCTTCCAGTGTATTTCTTACACAGTAAATGAAACCCAGGAGGTTTGGTGAGTAAAGAGCAATGGTGTTTGAAATAAGCAAGTGAATACCTTGTTAGCATTAGTTTAGTACAGTGTTGTTTACGTGACATTCTTGGCTCTATTCATAGTTATGCACTGTGGTTTTGGGAAGGATGATATTCTTGTGAGGACTGTCTAGAACTGGCTAGAACATTGGTAGTATGAGCTCTCATATGCTGTCAGATACATATTCAGGAGTGACAATGAGGTAATGAATACATGACATCATGTGACTAATGCTGTGTTTTTTGATGGGCCGAAAGAACGAATTAGGGCTAGAAATACAGCCATTTCTGATGGGAATATTAAGACTGTTCTGGGAGTGGGGGCAGGGAGAATAATCCATCTTGAGCCTTTTAAGGTGATCCCAAGCAAGGAATTCTCATGCATATATGACAGAGGTAGTAGAGCCTCTGTAATACCGTATGTACCAATATGTTGTTCGTGATGGTTTATAGAAGATAAAGGGACTATTATATAAAGGATCTACAGTAGTCTCAGTATTTGGATAACGCAGTAACAGAATTAAGGACAGCAACAATCTTAAGGCACGCTATGCAGGAATAAAGTTTTTGGATCTACTGTTCTGGTGTGAAAACAACTTTCTTAAAGAAGCTTACATAACAGTGTTGTAGATTTTGTACTTTACCCTCTAAAGGATGTTTGAAGACTTTTCAGTGATAAATGGTTAACAGGATTGCGAGCTGATCAGCATCTGGTTGATAAATGGGATAAGAGCATTACCAAAAAGCCCATGAGAAAATGCAATTGGTCAAAAAGAGAACTTTATTAGGGAGCAGTTGACTGGAGTCATCTAGCATGTCTAAAAACCTCCTTCCAGCCAACATTTCTAAGATTCTGTGAACTACAACCCTTTCTTCATAATAAAGTTTTTAAAGGTTCTTTGACAGCTAAAGTAGGTCTATTGTGAGAAAGTTAGGAAAGAGCAAAGATTTTTTTTATCTGAAGGATAAGAAATGTTGCTTATCTTTGCTGTTAAGGAAAAAAGTAAGCAACTATACTTTAAAAGAACTGATGAGTGGGAACATAAATCCTAATCAATGTCTTTACTTTGTGTATCATTTAATATTGATCCCAGTACTTGGGTATAGACACCCCATTTTGGATATCTGCAAAGTGTCACATTCTTACAAAGTGTCATTTTTCTGAATAAAATGACACTTGTCATTAATGACAAACATATAAAATATTTAGGTTAATGCAAATGATTTATCGTAACTGCGTTCTGAACAATTTCCTTCATGTCCCGGAGAGGCTGAGAGGCCACTAGGTGGGGAGAGCGAGCCAGCTCGCAGAGCCCGCGGCAGTGGAGACGCCTGGCTTGTACTTGTACTTGCAGTATGCTGAGTTGGCAGTTATCCCTCTGGAATAACTGAATTACTGTCAGAGCTCCAAATTAGTCTGGATAAGGATTTTGATAGAAATGGTAATGATTATTTACTCCAAATTTCTTAATTCCAGGTATTTTCTTACTTCGGAAAAGTAGGACTCTTACAAACTTTGAGAATGAAACTGGTATTTTGGAGCCGTGCCGGTAGTCAGTGAAAATCCACTGTAAACCTTTGGTGGCTTTCTTTTCCTGAAATTCTTTATTTTTATGTATAGTAGCTGGGCTCTCATTTCTGGTGTGTGGTGGGGCAAAAGTAGGTGTTCACTAATGCTCACTTGATTGATACCTGCAAGTCCATCTTGCCTATTTCTTTTGTGTTCTGAAAGAGGAGCATGCTTGCCAGTGGCTGCCCCTCTATTTCCCTGCTTTGGTACATTGGTTAGCTACAACACTTCCAGACCTGCGCAGTCCAAGCAGTTCATACTTTCTCCGCTACAAAGTTGTCTATCAGGTACTTCCCTCTGTCCACCAAACTGTTCTCTGCTGATATTCCAAACCAGGGGATTTGATGAAAACTATCTCATACTGATAATCATCCTTTCCTGTACCAGATTATTTTATCAAAATTACAGCAAAATTTTGTTTGTCAATGTCCTGGTTGGAATAAGTTATCAGTCAAGTAGTTGTGGTGGCACTGTTGGCCACTGAAAGTGTTGTCATTTAAATAATGATTCCATAAAGCAAGCAGGATGTAACTATGTCTTGGTGGGAATTTTGGTGCTGTGCAGAAGTGAGTGTGCATTTATGAGTATTGGCCAGATGTGGAAAACATTCTGGTATGTCTCTCATTACCTTTTCTGTAAAATTCCTGTTTAACTACCTTTTGAACTCTCCCTATAATGCTTGCAATTTAGATAACTGTCAGAGTCCAAAAAAAAATTTTTGTTTGAAGCACAAACTTTGAGGGTGCTTTTCTGTCTGAAGAGATGCATTGTAATTCTATGCAGTGTAAAAACTAACGCCTACAGTGTCATTTATTCTGAGAATGCATGTTTTTCACATAATAGACAAGGTGAAGAATTGAAGAGAAAGTATTTCCAGTGACACATTTGCAAAGAAATACTGATTAAAAGCCTAACTTACATAATTGATATTATTTTTGCTTTTCACTAATACTTACTGTAATGAATTTCAAACAGATTTAACTGAATGTTTACAAAAGGATTCAAGTGATCTTACTGTGAAAATTTTCGATCTCTTTTAGGGTATTCCTGGTACGTGATAGCCAAAGTAACCCCAAAACATTTGTATTGTCATTGAGTCATGGATTAAAAATAAAGCATTTTCAAATTGTACCAGTAAGTAATTTTTTTCAGTTTATGTATGCGTTTGTAAAATCAAACAATTGAATAACTGTGATAGAGTATTGATGGATTTTTTTTTTTTTTGTCTTGCTGTTCTATGGAAGATGTAAACCTGTATCACTAAATAGAATTAATATTCTTTAGTATACTTGAACCTTTTTGATCTTTGCTTTTGGTTTGTTCTGAAGCTTGACTAGCAGTGTGAAATCCAAAAAAGTTTTTTGAAAAAGCAGACAAATCTATTTCAACAGGAATAGAAGCAACCCTGATGGCATGAAGAATCATGTATTAATAGAGGTCATGTTGCCTTTTCATTTTTCAGTATGTGCACTATTTCTTAGTCATCTGTTTTGGACTGTCTACGATGTGTGTCTATATCTCACTGACTCATCTGTTCAGGATAGTTTCAATATTTGTAGTCAAACATATTTTGTTGACCTCTGTTCTTGATTCATGTTATTATGATGTATTCATGTCCAGGTCTTCTTCAGCGGGACAATTTTGTAAAAAAACCCAAAACACTGATATCCTTATTTAGTCCATCCACTTTATAGGTAAGCTGAAATTCCCTAAACTGGAATCATATTTCTATCAGTTTTCATCAAACATCCTGTCCAGTTCTGACAGAATAGCCAGGCTTCTCCATTGCTTCCACTCTCTCTCAAGGTGGTTTATGCAGGATTCTTTACATGCTGCTTCTGTTGAGATAAGAAACACTTAAGCATTATGTGTTTTGGTCACAGATGCTTGATATAACTGAGCAGACCCATAGCTTTTTCATCTCTCTTCACAAGAACTTTTCTTCCAGACCACGTAATACTCTAGCGTCCATGTTTCTTCCTGCTGAAGTTTCTGCTGTTTCTCCTGAGATTCTGCTGTTTCTCAGTAGAAATTTGTGTAGTGGCAAATTTTTTTTGTTTCTGATCTGTTAATCCCTTGTCATCATTCACCACATTTCTATATGCCTTACCTAGGGCTTGTAGCTGATATCCTGATATGCAACCTGCCTAGTTCAAGCATCACCCATGTTAACAGGCATCTCATGTTAACATTGGTAATCTGTGCAACAGGTATTGCAGGTGGATGGTAGCAAATTGGTTGTAAAAAGTTCAAAAGAAAACCTTTGGGATACGTTCAGGATCCTTTACTGTGTTTTTCAGCCTTTATACTCTGAGTTTATACAAGTTAATTTCAGTGTAGTCTATCCCTAAATTAGCTCTTCTGTAGTACATATGAAAAAAGTAGAATTGATACACAGTTCTGGGGCTGTCTTTTTCCAATAAATATTCTCTCATAAGAGCCTAGCTTGCAGAAGGTGTTAGGTTCCTGGGCAGCATAACTTTGATGTGAGTTTTTGTTTTGCAAAATATTGATAGCTTTAGAATTAGCAATCTGTCTGGTATTCATTTCAAGGTTTGGAACTAACCTGGAGGAGGAAACTAGACATTTGAATTGTTAACTCTTCCTTGTCTGCTGTCTGTTGGCAGGAAAATTGCATACCTAAGGAAAGTCCATTGAACGATAATCCATTTTCAGGTTCTTGGCTGGAGCACAGGAATTTACACATGCACACATTGGTAATTCCTTAACTAGCAGTGTTTGACCTGGTTTGACCAAAGTCTGAGAATAAAGAAGTTACAAACTACTTCCAGACATGGTAGAAAGGGGTAGAATAACCACGAGTCATAAGCAGTTCAACAGCTGCTTGCAGATAAGAAATCATAATTACAGGTAGCAGAGCTAATTATATCTTCTCCCTTCCCCAGTACTCAAGTAGGGTAGTTGCATCTTTCTCTAGCACACCATCTGCTGCTCTGTGCTAGCCCTACTTCAACATCTTCTGTTCACTACTCTGTCAATCTTGGAAAGTATCTTTTTTTCCCTTTTCTTTTTAAAAATAGTTTAAGAAGTTCTTTCCCCTCTATTTACAAGGATATTAATTAGTCGCTTTTCCACTAAAGTTTCTTGATATTAGACATATCAGCAGTAGAGGAAATAAATCAAGAAATTATATAGTCAGTAGTGCAGTCCTAATTGTGCAAGAGCTAACACTGAGTAACTTAGAATAGGGAAATACGGATTGTAAATTTTTAAGCATCTGCAAGTCAAAAGGAATCTTTCCAGGTATCTTCTGAAGTTTCTTCTTTCTCTTCTGTATCTGTGCTAATCCATGCATTTGGAACTGCAGCAATTTTTTCCCCTACAAGAAAAAACATGCTACTAAATCAAGCATGTTACTTTTGTGATGGGCAGTGTCTTGTGCAGCTGATACCATCCAGCACACCCCAGTGCACTGGTGTGTAGCCTCATCACACCTTACGAATTAAGTGATAGAAAATCATGGAATGTGAATGGAGCAAAGGTTGGAATCTATCTACGAGTAACTTGAAACTTGGTTGGTTTGTGTCCCTCTGTAAAAACTCAGAGTTCATATTAACTCCAGCTATCATTCCAAAGCATAAAGTAGCATTGTTTGTGCAGAAAGAATATTCCTATACTTATTTAATTGTTCTTTCCTTTTTGGTTTGTACTTGAAGTCAAAAAACGCATTATTTTTCTGGTTTTTTTTTTCTGTATTTTTGATATTGGTGTGAATGATCACTGTATTTTTCCTTCTTTCAGTAGCCGTAGTATTATGAATATATTGAACTATAAGAACACTTCTGAAAGAAGTATTCCAATCAGGAAGAAATACCATAGCAAAAGAGGATTTTATTGAATATTGTTTTTTCATTTTTACAGTTGGAAGATGATGGGAAGCTGTTCTATACCCTTGATGATGGTCATACCAGATTTACTGATCTCATCCAGCTAGTGGAATTCTACCAACTTAATAAAGGAGTTCTGCCTTGCAAGTTAAAACACTATTGCGCACGAATTGCTCTTTAACCAAAGCATCTGTTGTTTCATCAGAGGGAAAGGAAGATACTGGAATACTTTTCCCCTAGAGGCAATTTGTATAGCAAAAAGGGGGGGAAAAGCATTACATTTTAAAGATTCTATGTTTAAGCTGCAAAAAAAATTTATATTCTATATAGATAAGAACTTTGCTTTGTGATTGTCACAGCAAAAGTAACTTTATGGTTTTAAAAAACCATTCTTTCCTATGTAATTCTTTAGTGTTGTCTTGTACTTTGGTTTGTTTTTTTTCAACTGAAAACAGTTTTGAAAAATATTGTCTATCTCCTATAAAAATACAACTGAAGAAAGATCTTTGTTCTTAGGTTTAAAATTAACTTTTTGTCTCTATAAATGTTTCTCATAATTTCTGTTCATCACACAGAAGAATAACATTTACTGTGGTGAGGTTAAGAAGCTGAACTGCACATTTTATTTGTAAATAAAATGAATAAATATTTTGCACTATATTTTTGAATGCTACTTTGAGGATTATCATATCCAAAAAGTGAAAAATCATTAAAACCACTTATAACTGCTCAGTTGTATTGAGTTGTGCTATTATTGTTGTAATATTTTAAAGGATTTTTTTCTCTAATGACTAAATCTATATCTTTGTACAGAGCTGGAGTGTCACTTACTTGGCTGTGGAATGTATAAACATGCATAAATTATTATGTAGTACATAACATGGTTTAGTGAGTACCTATAGTCTCTGACACAGAGAGAGGGAAAGAGAGACCTGTTAAGTACTGTGGATTCATAGTTAAGAAGGGAATCAACTTCAGTTGCCCTTTAAATATAAAGGTAATATCATAATATTTGCAAATTAACAATATTTACAGTACTTGCAAATAAAAGTAAATTCAGTGGACTTGACTCTGCTGAAAACCTTGTGAAAGTGTATTTGCAGTTAGTTCCTAGCTTATTTTATTATTTATCACGAAATAAAAATGTCAATATAGCTACCAGTCAACCAGTCTTCGCAGATTACAAAGTATCTAATGTTCCAACTAAAAGGAACTGAGATGGTAGACCAAGTCAAATTTGGGACCATAGCGTTAGAAATACTTTTGGTATCTGTGTTTTGAAAGAGAGATGATACTGCTCCACCCTTGAACAAAAACTCAGGTGGAGTGGGGCCTGAACTGAAAGAGGCATCCCTGTCCTGATACTTTGCTGTCCAAGAGATCTGATCTTGTTATGAGGGTTCAGGACATTGTCCTGGCTATCTCTGTGTGAGGCAAAAGCTGGAGTAAAAGGTGGTATTTGGAGATGGGCCATCACACTGAATCCAGCCCCCCTTCCTGTGCTTGCTTGGGTTCTCTGACTGTCAGGCACACCATCTGTTCTGCTGTGGGAGCTGCTGGGCAGAGAAGGTAAAGGATGCCTGGGCAAGGGATGGAGTGAGTTGGACCCGAGGCACAGCAGTGCCTGTGTGTGTAAGCTGACAAGGCCATGTAGATGGAAGGATTGGAATAGTATGGTAACTATAGCCTATGGTTTTGTTATTGTGTGTCTGTGGAAGGCAGGCATAATAACATAATACTGTGATACTTAATTTACCAACTTGATCCACACATCACTGACCTTTTCCTCTGGTATGCATATGCAGTCTTTAAAGCTCATTAAAAAAGCTACTTTTCCTAATGTGTACCAAAGATGCAACATATGTGGTGCCTAAGCTCATTACATTAGGAATGCCTTGTAAAATTCTTTATAGTCTAATAAATTTAACTCTTAAATGTCAAATAAAAGTTCAAATTGTACTTAACAAAAAAATACCATTTTAATTAAAGCCTCTTCAGATTCACTTCAATAATGTGATTACTTCTCAGGTAGTGTTACTTTGGGTATTGATATACGATGAGAAACACTCTCTGCATCCCTAGGCATTTTACCATCATGGCCAAATAAATTGTCTACTGTAATCCATTTCTCCTTGGACATCTGAAAGCTTTGCCATAATTTTTATTTGTATTTAAGTGTGCATGCTTGGTAGAGAAGATAACTGCACAGTGAGTGAGTACCTGTCACCTTTGGACCTGTCAGAAAAGAAAAGAGAGTGTAGGTGTTATGTCACACATTGGAGAGACATCAACCATCAAAAAGCTTTGCCTGCTTTTCCAGTTCTTGTTTCACAAGTGAAATTGAAAAAAACCCACCGAAACTAAACTGAAATAAATACCCCCCCCCAAACCAAGTCGTTGCTTAATGAGCATCAGATTTGAAAGTTTTTAACTGTCAAAAATTCTTACACTGCAAAGCACTGCTTCCTGCATTTTGACAGTTCTCTTAATTAAAGTCTAAACAGAAATGTTGCTTAAAATACATTATCTCTTCTAGGAACATGCATACCTTTCCTGAACTCTGTGATTATTTGTGACTATGCCAGAAAAGACCAAACAAGTAAAACTAATAAAATCTAGGCTACCTCCTTGTCTAAATGTTACTAAAGAAAGAAGCATGAAGGTGGTAGTCTTAATGTGTAAAAAACCTCCCCAAATACCACTCCTCAAAAGCCCCAATATTGTGATATCCCAGACTACTTCCAAATATCTTAAATGGTACAAGTGGTTGATATGTGACTTGAAAGATACTTGCTAGAAACCAATATTTTCTGGTCAGGAAAAACAGCAAGGAATTTTTGCGAGACCGCCCAGGATATTTCTGACCACAAAGTTCTTTCAGGGTGTAGGCAATGCTATTTAAACAGAATTTCAGTGTGTTAACTGTCACATCTAATGAGGAATACTACACTTTGGTGCTCACCTTCACAAAGAGAATTGGCTAATCAGGAGTTGTTAGCAGCTCAGGCAGTAATCAGCACGGTTTCTGGCAAGCCAGTCTATCTGTCTCTAACGTTTGCTCCTCTACAATATATGGACAATGTTATATCTACCTCGTGGAGTGTTAGGAATAGATTTTTTTTTTTTCCAAAAAATGACTATAGAAACTGGTATTATTTGCAGAAAGGTTTTTTCTAGTACTTTAAGAACTGATGTGTTTTTACCTCAACTTGATGGAAAATCAGTGCCAGAACACCTAGTTTGAAGAATGGTATTTGAAAAACTTCTCATGCTTTCTTCAGAATTCAAATTTTCTGTTCTGGGAGTGTGTCTGTGTAGTGAAGTGCCAGGAAGAGAGAAGTGAGCTTGCCATGCAGAGGTACTAGAAGCAGCATAACTGCTGGAGTCCAGCTCGCTATCTGGGGTAATTAGCCCTGCAGGGGTATGCGCTGCGAGCTGTGAGCTAGTTCAGAGACTGCGCTAAAGCTCAGCATTGTATTTGTTGGCATGGCCTTTGTGCCTTGGTTTCAAATCTTAAAATCTTCTTGGCTCAAAGGAGATTAAAAGTTAATTCACTGCTTTCATAACGCTTATACATACATGGCCCGAATTAAGGTTACACGGACAGCATTAAATGACATTTTTAAACTTCTGAATGTTTTTACTTAACAATCTTATTAAGTCACTTAATGAATTTTTTTGAAATGTAGTTGTAAGTCTTCAAGTCATCCAACTAAATGTTTTGAAAGAGAGCTTTAACTCGTTAAATAAAAGAGGATTATGTATGTAACTAACTGCAAGTGGTATCTTTCAAGGATAATTGAATTTGTGTCAAATGTCTGTTACATCCTGGTTTAAGAATTGTAGCATTTCGTGCTTCCCTTGGGGGTAGAATTAGTATGTAGTGTCAATGGTCTTGAGGTGTATCTTTTAAGTTAAAATCAGCTAATTTCAAGAAAATGGTCTTTTTTTGTTGTTACATTGGCAAAAGCTACTCATCTTCACCTAAACAGATTCCACATAGTCACCAATTAGTTTTAACTGTTTTAACCTATTTATTAGATAAAACTTGCAAATCAGTCTAGCACTTGTCTGGAAGAAATCTGATTTGTAACTTTTGTTACCTTTACTAATTTAGTTTAGAAAAATATAAAGCAATTTACAGCATTTCTGTATAGTTAGAAAAATAATTGTTTTTATTATTGTCCTGATATTTCAAACTACTGTTCTAATACTCATACTGTAATGCATTCCATTTCTAATTTCCACTTTGTAGCTGAAGCTTTCACTGAAATCATCGAAGATGGGACATACCCCATTACTTGAATATACTTGTAAGCTTTCAGAGGTTAAACACTTATGGTCTATGCATAATCAATGTGTATGGTAGTGCAATTAATGTTAACTTTAATGAAATGCATGAATATTTAAAACTTAATGAATCTGGCTTTACAGCCTGGCTCACATATGTGAACAGTATTGACTGTTGGCCTCTGGATGTCAGCAGTGTATCACGAAATTCCTGTAATCAGCCACTGTTTTCATGCTTCCTCTCAGAAATATCTGTGACTTGTGGTCTCTGCACACCTCCAGAACACCCAGTGCTTTTTCCTCTTATAAATTATTCACTTACTCTGTACCAATTAGTTCTACCAGTTGCTAGGTTTGTTATCAAGTTAAGCTTCAAGACAAGAACCTGAACTCAATGAGTGATTAAAAATTTATTAGCAGAGATGATTAAATATGCAGATAGTCTGTGAAGCTTGTTCTTGAAACCATTATATTACCTTTTTAATACTAATGATTTGTATAATTAATTTTATAAAGCCTGAAAGTCTTTTAAAAAAAATCAGAGTAGGACATAAAAGAGAAGAGATTAAATGCAGAAGAGGCAGTGAACCTGAGCATTAAAACAGCTCATTCACATGTATAGGCAATAAAGTGATTTCCTTACAGGAATAGTTTGTGGTTTTTCTTCCCCTCTGCTAAGTTGATTATTTTATTAATCTTCTAAGCAATTTGGGAAAACTCTTATCAATTAGTGAGTAGTGTTTTCAAAATAGAACTTGATGTGATTAACGCTGATCATACAGATAGTTCCTCTAAACTTTACAGTTAAACCCGTATCAAGATGCAGTTTCTACAGCATTTGAGCACATGATGGATTTTAGGCATGTGAGGAGCCCCAGGATTTTGATGGCAAGGAAGGTACATGTGCATTAATGGCACAGGGAACTGTGGGGCAGTGTGGCCAATGCAAGTGGAGTTTGTGAAACAGGTTGTCCCCCCAGTTTTTTTGAGGTGGAGTGCTGCGTGGTGAGCACGGCTTCTGCTCTCACAGTGGGGGAGCTGAGACCGTCCAGAGCCTGGGATGAGTGGGAGCAGCCTGGGGCTGTTGAACCTGCTGGTGTGGCTCAGGAGGAGATGGGCCTGTCCTCCTTCCCATGAAGAAAACAAATTACTTTATTGCCCCTTAAGGGAGTAGGTGGAGCAGAAGGTCACTCTTGGGTGGCGGCATCAGCTGTGGCCGTGGGCAGTGCAGGTGGCTGGCACCAGCCAACAGTGCTGGCATGGCACAGCTTTTGGCATGTGCTGGTGTGTGCTGTGGTGTGTGAGTGGTTTGTAGCACCTCTGTGAGAAGGCTGGGGAGGTGACGAGACCTGGCCACGCTGAAGCAGG